GGGGGGGGAGGAGTTGCAAGAAGCGGAGGGGGGGCGGGGGGCTTTCCTTCCTGCGGGATCCAGTTGCAGCTTCCAAAGTGGAATCATCATCTTCGCTTTCCTTCCTCCTTCCCTGAAAGCCTCTCCGGGGCTGTCTCTGTGTGTGTGTGTGTGTTTGTGTTTGTGTGTGTTTGTATTGTGTGTGTGGTGTGTATGTTGTGTTTTGTGTGTTTGTGTTGTGTGTGTCGTTTGTGTTTGTGTGTGTGTGGTGCGAGTGGTGTGTGTGGTGTGTGGTGTTTTGTGTGTGGTGTGTGTGTTGTGTGTATTTGTGTGTTGTGTGTGTATGTGTGGTGTGAGTGTGTTGTGTGTGTGTTGTGTTGTGTGTGTTGTGTTGTCTCTGTGTGTGGTGCATGTTTGTGTGTGTTGTGCGTATGTGTGGTGTGTGTTTGTGTGTTGTGTGGTGTGTTGTGTGTGTGGGTTTGTGAGTGTGTTGTGTGTGTGTTATGTGTATGTGTGTTGTGTGTGTTTGTGTGTTGTGTGGGGGGGGTGTTGTGTGTTGTGAGTGTGGGGTGTGTGTGGTGTGAGTGTGGTGTGTCTGGGGTGTGTGTGGGGTGTGTATGTGTGTTTGTGTGTATGAGTGTTGTGTGTGCGTGTGGTATGAGTGTGTTGTGTGTGTTGTGTGTGGGGTGTGTATGTGTGTTTGTGTGTATGAGTGTTGTGTGTGCGTGTGGTGTGTGTGTGTTGTCTGTGTTGTGTGTGTGGTGTATGTGTTGTTTTGTGTGTGTTTGTGTGTTGTGTGTGTTGTGTGTATGTTGTGTGTATTTGTGTGGTGTGTGTGTGTGTGTGTGGTGTGAGTGTGTTGTGTGTGTGTTTGTGTGTGTGTGGTGTGTGTTGTGTGTGTGTTGTGTGTGTTGTGTGTTTGTGTGTGAGTGTGTGTGTAAACTGAGGAAATTCTCATCTGGCTTTTCTCCAAGCCAAATGGATAAGGCCACCAAATCCTCAGCAGGGACCCTTATTCTCCGCGGATGGACGGGAATAAGTTCTTTGGATTTCCCCCCCCCCAACCCTCCCCAGGAGTCCCCAACACCCAAACCCAAGGCAGCCTTTTCCCTATGGGGAAACAGAGTCACAACCCTACATCGCCCTCTGCGGGTTAAGAGAGGGACTGCATCGATTGCAGCTCACACCGAAAGGACCTGCATGGCAACGAAAGTATTAATTATACGAAAGGAAAGTTCCCCCCCCACCACCAACCATTTGGGAACCTGTGACTGCTCCCCCTGCCCCCCTGCTCTGGGCAGTGGGGGGTCCATGGGGGCACCTCGGCCCAGTCCAGAAACCGGAACACAGTCGGTGGGTGGAGGGTGTGCCGTTCCCCCATTCGGCCACATGGGGGAGCTCCGGTTCGGCCTGCTTCTCCGGCAGCCCTCCTGCCGCCTTTGGGGGTCTGTGCGGGACGCCGGAGGAAGGCATCCCCGTCACCAAACTCTCGACAGGGGGGGTCCTCAGCTTACCGACCATAACTGAGCCCAAAATTTACGTTGCTAAGGGAGACATTGGTTAAGGGAGTTTGACCAATTGGATGACGTTTGAGGCCACGGTCACGAAAGGAAGTGTCGTAAGACGAGGATTTCCTGGGGAATCGCTGTATTGTGAGAGAGGGGAGAACACTCCTGGAGGAGGGGGTCCAGGGAGGGGGTCTAGGAAGAGGGTCCAGGAAAGGGTCCAGGAAGGGGGTCCAGAAAAGGGGCCAGGAAGGAGGCCCATGAAAGGGGTCAAGGAAAGGGGTCAAGGACGAGGGTCCAGGAAAGGAGTCCAGGAAGAGGATCAAGGAACAGGATCTGGGAAGGGGGTCCTGGAAAGGGGTCCAGGAAAAGGGGTCCAGGAAGGGGGTCCAGAAAGAGGATCCAGGAAGGGGATCCAGGAAGACGATCTGGGAAGCGGGTCCTGGAAAGGGGGTTCAGGAAGGGGGTTCAGGAAGGGGATCCAGGAAGGGGATCCAGGAAAGGGGGTCCAGGAAAGGGGTTCAGGAAGGGAATCCAGGAAAGGGGTCCAGGAAGGGGGTACGAACTCCCTGATGTATCCGTCTCCTGCGTCCACCAGCTGGTTCAGGAACAGGACGACTCGGCCTCAAGGGCAGTGGGGAGGGGGTGACCCTCTTTTGGGGGCCCCTCCAATTCCCGCCTGTGTCTTCTAGGGGGGAACCTCAGAGGGAGGCAGCCTCTCCTTCGGCTGATCCCATTTCACCTGTCACGCCGCAACCCCGAGATTTGCGCTGTGCGACTTGTCTGGAAATGGCTGAAAACAATGCAGGTAAAGTCTTGGGCCCGGGGCGGGGTGGCGGGATGGGGTGGGGGGGCGACTGTCCTGGGTGACGTGGAACAGGGTGCGATGGCCGTACGCTGCTGACCGGGTCCCCTTCATCTCTCTCGTTTGGGTCACAGGGCCTGATCAGAGGATCGTCTTGGTGGGCAAAGCCGGAAGCGGGAAAAGAGCGACGGGAAACACCATCCTGGGGCGCAAAGTCTTTAAGTCTGGTTCAGCAACGATGACTTGGCAAAAGGAGGTAGTGTGGAACGACAGGAAGGTTGTGGTGGTCAATTCACCAGGCGTTTTCAACACTCGGGTCCCGGTGTGTCAAGCTGTGGAAGAAGTAAAAAAATCGATCAAGTGCTGCCCCCCAGGTCCCCACGCCATTCTGTGGGTCCTGCGTCCTGGCCGTTTCACCCAGGGGGAGAAGGACGAGAATCGGCTGATCCAAGAGATGTTCAGTCACAAAGGCAAGAATTATATGATCGTTGTGTTCGCCTGCAAGGATCGCCTGGAATACACGACTCTGGAGGAATCCATTGCCCAGGGAGACGTCTCGCTTCGGGAACTGGTGGCCTATTGTGAGAACCGCTACCTGGCCTTCGACAACAAGGCCGAAGGAG